AATTACGCGGGAGGGAAAAGAGTACCACTGCCAATAATTTACACCCGTATAGGCAGTGCCGCGATAAAGCAATCTCGTTCGGAGCGACAATCAAACAGATTGGTGCATATATACGCACGTATGCGATTTCGCGTCGCAACGCGTTATGCACCGCGCGTAATCGTAAATCTCGCATTCGCGGAGCGCCGTAAAACAAAAATACTTTAGCCGGGGTAAAAATTTTCTATTCCCTTTCACTTACTTACAGTATACACCGCGCGCGATGGTGACGCAAGCACGACAGCACCGCGAGTTTCCATCGCGGAGTATCCTCGCGATCATGCATCGCGTGCGCGCGATGCATACTTGACGAGTGATTATAGTCTTCGTATATAAAAGAAGATGCAGCCGCGTACCAGAAATCATCCGAACGTTTCACCTTTGGGCGATACTTAGTAATTTAGTCTCGTTTTAAATTTAAACGTAATTTGAAGAGAGAGAGAGAGAGACCGAGCCTTTTTAACGCAATATATTCAAATTGCAGGTGTATTGGTGTAAACGCGAATAAGATCACGTCCGGGACCTTCCACTCGCGCAGCTGCTAACCGAGTTATCCAGGCCGTCCTCACCTCATTTCTCGTCGCGTTCTTATTGGGCGTCCCGCTGTATTCCACGGTAGAGCAGCTTCGGTTTTGTCAATGGTCGGATTTGCGGTTTCGCGAGCATCTCGTAAATTTTCGAGAACGGAGTTCTAACGGCGTACCGCGAAAGAGTTATACCCGCCTACCGAGGTGACCAAATTACGTATCGCTGATAAAGCTCGTAAAGCGTATATCGTTATCGAACACGTAGCCGTTTGAACTTTGAAATCAAGTTGGTATTGTTTCTATCTACAAATCTGTTGCAATCTTATCGTGAATGTTAACGATTTTTATCACGCGCGGTTATACGAAGACAACAGGCATAGAGTTTACAAAATTCGCATAAAACGAATAATACGAAACATCGTCAAAAGTATCATCGAACATAATCATGTGACGTATAAATACTATATTGATTACTTCATCGATAAATTTAAGATCAATTCCGATAAATTTAACCCGCGATAATATTTCATCACCGCGATGCCTGATGGCGCGGAAGGTTGATTTGTAGAATCGAATTAAACGTAAACATCGGGCAGCAAAAGGTATATTGCAGTTTCACTTGTGCACACTGCGTTTTGCATAATCACACGGATGTCGTATCAATCGCGAATCTAATCTGCAAACTTAACGTTACGCACGATATGCGGGGATAGTCGATAGAAAACGAGAATAATTTCCACCGCGTGGCTTGAACTTGCCTCGCCACCAACTCGATCTATTTAAAATCTGTTACAGCGCCGCTCGCGAAAAATCCGTTTTACGTTTCTAACGCGAGAGATAGTTTTTCTCTCTCTCGAAACGAGGGCAATCGTTCTAATGTCGCGCGAGTATGGAGTTGCGTGTGGTGTGACGAAAGGCCGTGTGCGCGCTTCCAAAAATACTCTCAACTGGTTCAAAAGCCAAACAGCTACTGTCCGGCATCGCAGCTTCATTTTCTCCCGAGTTCGGGCATCCGTCTGAATGGGTTGCGTCGGCGAATCGTCCCAGATATTAATTAGCCATTACATCCGGATGGACGTTAACGTCAAGCCGACTGATGTTCCTCTCTGCCCCCCCGACTTTCTCTTTTAAGCGATATGCAACTGGCAAAAAACTGGCAAACGAGTTATTTGACGATATTGTGACGTAAGGGTATCGTGGGCACACGGATAGAAAGTCGAAAGGACGGGAGGGCACAATTATACCTTCCCTTTCCTCCGTGACAGATAATTAAATTTAAATTTAATGCAAAACGATTAGAGGCGATGTCAAGGAATCCGCGCGATTACCGGATACTCCGCGCGACCGGCTCCCATAAAATTCCACAAAAGATCTACTTTCTCTTTATACGGACAATTCCGCGTTGAACTCGCTTGACCTCGAACGACCGACTTCAACGTCCACGAATGTCGTTCAACGGAGCATCCACGCACCGCGTGGGTACTGGGTATGGAGTGTCGATGACCAAACGCGGCGGGAAAATAATATGTGGACCGGAGCTCGAGAGCGTAATAAGATCGCGGAGCACGAACGAGAGGATCGATGTGTGCTCGAGGTATGCAATTAAAGTATATGATAAGTATACCGCCCGATCGGAACGCGCACGGACTTTCCGGTTTCCATGATCTTAATCTTGACGATAACAACTGTTATTATTATTTTATGTGCTACGCTTTATCGAATACTATTGACATAATATCGAAAATAAAACACCGAGTAAAACGCGAGTATAACGTAACTTTTTGTACGACATCCTTTCGTTTTTTACACCCATGAAAGGAAAATCCGATAAGTTAATAGTTAATACGAACGGTTTCTCGTTCGAGAGCCAAGCGGCACGATCATAGATGCATTGCTCAGATTGGGCCAATAGCGTTTGTAATTGCTTCATTGTTTCATTGTGGTTTTTTTTTGTCGGTGTAACAATAACGGGACAAATATCACGATGAATCTCAGTCATGCCGCGCCGCGCCGGGGAATTAGAAGCGCGGATGCTCGGAACTGGCTCAAGGTGTTATCTCGAATGAAAAACTCTGAATAGAAGCGCGGATCGACGGAGGAAATTGGGCTTCGGTTAGCAACAACGCGCGTAAAATATATTGAGATGGATGCAACGAGTTCGCCAGACAGGAAAATACAAGCGCGTATCTCCCTCTCTGGATCGGAGCACTCTCGGAGCACTCGGAGCACCGACTTTCACGTTCTAAATTCCATTATCTTTGCCGCGCACTTTTTACGTTCACGTGCCTCGAAACAATGCTGCTTTAATCAGCGGCTAGATCAACGGGGCGGCGAGGCACGTCGTTCGATCGATACTTCGAATACGAGCTCCGTCGAAGCTTCCTCGTTAGATAAGAGAAAACGATAAGTTTTTCCATTCGGTTGAGCTTACCAAAATGCATATCCACTATGCCGAGGAGGAAGAGCGCACCGGCGCGCCGTTGTACGGTCAGCGCGAAAGCGAGACGACGTGTCGAGACAGCACGCGTATCCACAAGAAGGAGGAACCACACGAGAGAAGAAACGAGGAGCGACCGTGGAGCATCCCCGCACGTTGTAGCACTACGAGCACTCGCGAACGAAGCGCATCTTTCTTTCTTTCTTTCTTTCTTTCTTTTTTTTCACAGCCGGCACAGACCGAGGACGGGACGACGAGACGGGTCGAGAGGCGTCGTTTCTCTCAAACGCCTCGGACCCCCGGTTCCCCGCTTTCTCGCGGCGATTTCGTCGCACTCGTGCTCGTCACGACGCATGAATGACTCCTTCGCCACGCCGCGCCGCGCCGCGCGGGGTCACGCCAGGGTTCGTTCGCGGTAATCGGCGGCGACGGCGGCGGAGAAACCACGTCGAATGGACCGCGCGAAGAAGTTCGAGCTCCGAGTCGTTGCCGTGGTATGTCTCGGTTAGACGGGACGGACGGACGGACGGACGGATGGAAAAACGAGTAGGAGGCGAAGGAAGAAGGGGAGGGAGAGAGAGAGAGCCCGAGCGGCGGTGGCCGGTTAGACCCGACACCCGTAGGAAGAAGAGACTCCGGTCTGGCTGACCCACGGATACCCACGGCGATTATGACCGTGGATTCCTCCCGAGATGAACTCCCGCTGCTTTTCGAGAAGGGTAAACGGAGGGGGTTGCTCTGGCGGTATAAGATGCCGGTGATACGTGAGGTCGTGAGCCGGAAAGCCAGCCGAGCCACGCGTTGCACACAGAGAGACCCTACGTGAGGGATACCGCGATCACACAGGTCGAAACACAAAAGACGCGCACCATTTGCGTTTAAATATAGCGGACGCTCTAGAAAAAAGAGGGATGAGAACTAGACGGAAACGGAAAGGGAAGACGAAGAAGCGAAGAAACGGAAAGAGACGCGAAAAGAACCGGGGAAGAGATGATCGTGGATGGAGGGGAAGGAAGAAAGAAAGAAGAGAGGACGAGGAGGAAGGGAACCTTGGATCAACGTGCTCGTTGTAACGTGCCCGTCCACCGGCGGCGACCGTGGAACGGCGAACTCTGTCGGCTCGTGCAGCCGGCAGGCAGCTGCTTAGCCTCCTCGGTCTCTCCAGCGCGCAACGAAGCGCATCGTTTGCGTCCGAACGCGAGCCTTCGGCAAAGATCGGAGCCCGGAACAAAACAACAAACGTGGGGGACTGTGGGGTACGCGGGTACGCGCCGCCGAGTGTTCGCTCCCCACTCCCAGCTGAGTTAGCTGAGTACGCCATCACATCCGTTCCTCTTGTTAGCCTTAGCTTAGCTGTTGGCCTGTTGCGTTGGCCGGTCTCTTAAGCCAGCGAAAATTCAGCCCGGTGCGCCACGCACGTGCTCCAACCAACGCGGCATTATTCTTAGCACGTCTTCCGCCGAATCGTGCCGCTTCCTAGCATTCGCCGCTTCGCCGTTAACAATTAAATCGGTTAATAAACGGGTTGCCTCAGCTAGTAAAGCTAAATCATCAGCATATTTATATGCTCCGTTCCGCTTCGTGCGCATTTTACGCTATCCAATTTACTTAAGGAAAGAAAAACAGGAAGACAAGAACAAGCGCATGCACAAAAGTTACCCGAGGGGAACTTTAAAGACGTTCACCTGTCTTTATATAGTGACTTACAATAAAATTTTTAAACACTTATTTGTTAATTATTTAATTCTAATATATAGAAAAACGATCATGTTGAAACATATGCTATATTTCTATACAAAAGCATTCTTTTCTACAAGCGGACTGACCTTTCCTATAGTAAAATGAAACAAAGAAAAATAAAACGGAGACCCAAAGGGACATCTGTCCGTAAAATGTGAACCACATGGTGAAATTTGACGACGAATAAGAAAGACAGAATGAAACACTAATAATTACGTTACTACCTGAATACAATAATAATAGAAAGCGGTACTTACCATGAGCTCCAGCGCTTTTTCCTCCAGTTCCGGCAGAGTCCAGTTGACGCAGAAATTCGAAGGTTTCAAAAGTGGAAGACGCGATTCCATTTCTCGTAACCATTTTCTCAGACATTTCACTTCCCGTTCAAAGTCTGGAACAAATCGATCACGCGTACATTGGCAAACATGCGAGAGACATGTAATTTTTTAAGGGGGCAACAATTACCCGCTGATATATCTTGTTGACTAGATACTGGTCGGTCTATGGGCGCCATAATTTGCTCAACTAGTTCCCATTTTGCGTTCAAGTGATCTACACGCCACGCCACTTCGTCTTTCAAAGCAGGGGCGCGAGAAATTAATTTTTCCGCTTGCTCATTGAACAATTTGCGTCTGTAAGCCTTGCGTCGCAGCTCCTCCATGTGAGCCTAACGATTTATTCAAATTTTTTAAATAATTTCAACGCGAGATTTATTTGATCTTATATTTTGAATATCTATATGTTTACGCGAGCGTTACTTCTGCAGTAACTTACGATAATTCCTCCATGTAAAGGGGGTTCTGTAGTAATTTATGACGATTAACTCCGCGTAAACAAGGGAATTATCGTAAGTTACTACAGAAGTAACGTTCGCGTAAACGTAGTATATGTCAGATTCACTGATACATACTGCACGCAGGCTTTTGTCTAGAAGATTTTCTTCCTTAGAATAGACCACTTCTTGAAGAAATCTTAACCACGAGTAAAGCTCTGAAAATTGATTGCTGACTTCCTTTAAATTCCACGATTGCGTCGACACGTCCGTTTCGTCCCATGTTAGTTCACTGGTCAGTTCACCATTCGCTTCCTGAAAATATTGAAAATAATTCAACGTTTATCTTCTCACGCTAAATCTCTATGCATAAGTTTGACAAACTTGTAAGCTAAATCTCAAAAACTTACCTTGCAAGTTTCGATTAAATTAGTATCCATAATATAATCATAATTAGGTCTTATAGCCGCCCAAAAGTCATCTTTGCAGTCTTCGTAGTTTATCCACATTCTTTCCACGTTTGTTTGCTTCGGATCTTTCCTAGAAACACACATACGAAACGCACATTTAATCATCAGCAGCATCCACGCGCGCACACACGGCTAAATAAGAGATCTAGCATGACTAATCCCAGTGACTAATATTAATAGAATCAAACCTTTTCTTGGTAAGACTGTTGTACAGTCTTTCCGTCGTTGTCCTGACATGTCTCTGCCTTTCCAAGCTTTGACTATTTGGCTGAAGTGACGGTAGTGAGGCACTCATCCTTTTTCTCTTGTGGTAATCTGCATTCAAAATATACCGAACGTAACAAGATTGTCATTTTCCGACTCGGAACAAAATTATATAAAAAAATTTCAATCTATCCGACAGGCCGGTTTACCACATTGGGACATCACACCCAGGAGTCGCGCATATATAGGCACGTTTTGTACTCCGAAATAATTTATTTCGAAACACCGTCGCAATTCCTTTTAAGGTACGTGTACGTACGTATCACTCAAGGAGGAAGGAGAGATTTCGCATATTAGACCCCGAGGCAAATTCGTTTGGCAAATATAACCCCTACCCTACCTCGAAACTTTCGTTCTCGTCCAACGCCGATTCTTCGCGCCGAGCGCGAAAATAGCAACGCGGGGCGCGAGTCCTTGCAGCAAACGTGCTAATTCCGGAAAAAGAAAAAAAGGGGCGAGAAGAAAGTCGCGGAGCGGCTCAACTTTGCCATTTGTCCGTCGTCGGAGTCGCGAGATAAGGCCCGCGCGCCAAGGCGCGACGCAGAATCGAGAATCAAGGAAGGCATGCTCACCCGTGTGGTCGACAGTCATCGGGGCCCCCGATTAGGTTGTTTTCGGCCCGATAGCGCGCATCACCGCTACCGTCTCGCCGACGACGAAACCGCGATGCCGAGATGATGGGGAGACCGGAGAGCTGCTCTCGACGTCGTCGGTGGCTCGGGCTCGGTGGTGGGGTGCCCGAGCACACATCCGTAGACCCGAGGGGACACACCTGCTGTCGCCACGCCACGCGGGTGGGGAATGTCACCGGGCGACGAAAAATCTCATCGCTCGCTCGCGGAGCAGGATCCCCGAGACCGGAAGGAAGGCGGGTAGCGGCAGCCGGGTGACGGCGATCGTGGATCGTCCGCTCGACGGCGCTACGCCGACGACATAACCTTCCTCGGGACGTCCGGACTCCGGACTATCTGCGGCACGCGACGCGACGCGAGTCACGCGAGACGAATCCGCCGGAGTTTCCCACGGCGACAAAGAGCCGCCGCATACCAAATAGCGCACTCCCCCGTCGCTCGGGTCGCAGGATCGCAGCGTTCCTCCTCGTCCGCGGCGGCGATTCCGACGTTTCGGGGACGATTATGTCGGCGCACCTCGGGGGTGGGTGATCCTCGTCGCCGGGCCGCACCGCCTGTCGCCGTACGCGCGAGAACTCGGAATTTGCACCGTCCTCGACAGGGCGCCTGCCTGCCTCGTCGACTTGGTTAGCTGTACTTGGCTGTACTCGACGTCAGGGACGAGCCTTCCCCCTGATAAGCATTTTCGGAGCACGTAACTCCCAGAGGGAGAGCCGCAGGTGCAGGGCGAGTACAGGTGCGGCGCCGACTAACGGACGTCCGCCGGATGACGTTTCCACGGCTCCACGGGGCGTTTATCGATACACGATAAAACAGCCGATGGCGGTCTAACCTGTGGGCTACGTGGGAGACGTGGGTGGACGTGGGCACTGTGGGCAGACGTGGGATTTCTTGTTAATCATCGAGATAGAGAGAGTGCACGAAACGTTAGAAATATGACGACGACGACGAATTACCTCGACTTGGACATAAACAAGTTGTTCGAGCAGCACACCGTTAAGGAGATCGAGGAGATTCAGAAAAAGATTCAACTGGAAAGTGACAGGAAGAAAATAGAATTGCGAACGTTGGTTGGGTAAGGCTCCCTCACCTAGCTCAATTTAGCTTACAATTAATCTTTTTTAACTAGTAAAACGCAAATTTTTTTATACAAGTTTATCGAAGTTTGTCTTGTCACTTTGAAATTTACACAGAGGTGCATAGAGTTACATCAAATCTGTCAGTTTTCATATTAATGATTTTCAGGGAAAGATATCGAGACTTGATATTGGCTGCTGACACAATTGGGAAGATGAAGATCACGTCTGAGAAAGTCACCGCAAGAATCGCTAATATAGAGGACAGATTTAGGGAATTGCAAAAGAAGTATCTTATTGGTTTTAAAACCGAGCCGATCGAAGATAAGCTGGACAAGTATTCTTCTTTAAATATCACTCGCACATGTTATCTGAATGCATACGAAATGAAAAATTTATGTTAGCAATGGAATTCAAACTGTAATTTTTTGTAGAAGGGGACACGTTTTTCACTCCGTTATCATCCAAATCAAAATCCTAATGGACATTCCGCAATACATTTGGACGAGCATTGAGAATCAGAATTTATTATTTGCCACGCAGTTATACATAATAGCGCAACATATAAATTACAGTCTAATGTTCGAAGTCGGCAGCACCGAGCTGTTGCATAGATATCCAATTGTTTTGAAGCAGTGGGATGTTATTATGCAGTTTAGGAGCATCATATCCAATGAATGCAACAAAATATTGCAGTCGTTGGACGTTTCGACTACAGTTGGTATACAAATTGTTGCTTATTTCATGATGTTTAATTGTTAGGTGCTAATGATACATTTACCTTGTAGAATGCCGCAAACTGCTTGGCATCTCTCGTGTTTCTGAATGAATCGTCGTTTGCAAATCTTTTAGAAAGATTAATATCCTCGAGAAGTCATGCCATCGAATCTGTCGTTAAAGGAGAAAGTCACGACAGTGTCAAAAATAAGCTGAAGTTGTGTATGAAAATACTTATACAAACTGTGCACTTAATATATTCATGCTTTATAAGTAAGTAACTTATTTGTTTTACGATCTTAATGCAGCAAACAGAAAATTTCGTTGTCAACTATTTTACATGATTACAGATGCGGATAATGCGCCTGGGGGTTTAGTCATGCAGTTTATAACAGACATAAAAGATCAAGAAGCGTATTTTTTGCTATCGCAGTTGGATTTAGATCAAGATTTACTCGAAAAGTTCCTGCCATCCGTTACCAAACACCATAAACCATTCGTTCAGGATGTACCGAAAAACTTTTCTTTATCGGCTCTTCAAGATAGCGTTAAATCTTGGTTGGATTGGGTGAACGATTTTTCTAATCACGAGGTCACCAAATTATTAGATTTAATAGTTTCTATTAAAGGCCTGTACAATGTTCGGGAAGAGGCTATCAGCGTGAACCTGCCTGAAAATTGGAATTCCATATGGGAAGAGCTTTCATTACCGAGAATAAGTTTCTGGATGGAATTCTTCCAGCCTATTATAACTAAACGAGCAAAATGTAATTATATTTATATAAAAAGCTAAAGATACACTATTTATTTTAATAATTAACGATGATTTGTTAATAGGTATTATAACGAATAAATGGACTGATACGCTGGCCGATTTAAAATCCGATATAGCAGAATTGCTCGATAAAGTAGCGCATGATAAATTTGAATTTCCGGAACACGATTTACGATGGTTTGTGTGGAAAGATTCTCCCACTGACATTCCGCAGAAACTTACAAAGAACGGTGGATTGGATAACAAGAGGTCCTTGCTAATGAAAGCTAAAGGCTTTTCCCCAAACGTGATGAAATTGTGCGAAAAATTCGACGAAAGTCTATATGCGCTATTGTCCGATCTCGAGCACTATTTATACGAGACCGAACGAGTGATAACGATAAAAGATAATTTACTTTCGGCGAACATATCTTTAATTGCAAGTTCATTCTCCGATCGTAATGAAGTCCAAGAACATTTGCAAGTAATCAGCAACGGAAAGATCGAAGACCTTGTACAATTTATGAGGAACACATGCGTCAATGACAAACCCAAACACGGTCAAAGTGATATAAACGCTATAGTTTTAGCAAGATTTCTCTTTGCATTAACTACTTTGTGTCCGAATTTAAACAAGTGTTTTACATCGTCGAAAATATCTGGACTCGCCATCACGAATGTCAAGTGGCAAGCTGTTTGCGACAATCTAAAGGAAGAAAGTACTTGCATGTGGTCCATTTGGGCTAATATATATAAAGTTAAAATATCTGAGCATATGAAGAAATATATATTGAGAGAGCCAATCGATGGATTGCGCGTCCATTGGATCGTATCGGAATGGGAGAAAGTTACCATCGAGGAAGAATCCGGAGAAGGAAAGCGAATAAAATCTGAAATTTTAATACCGTATCAGCCATCGATACCCTTGCAAAAATTCTTGACTGCCATCTGCAAAGATTTAAATAAGATTATACCTCATACGCTTCCAAAGTAAGTAAATGATGCAACACCGTCCAACACAGATTGAGACACTTCATTTTTCATGATATATTCCGTTTCTCAAATTTTAGGAGGGTACTGCAGCAAATTATCGAAAGCATCATTACGGAATTATTTAATTATTATCTTAATGCGTCTAAAAACATGGACCTCAGACAAAAGCAAGCGTTTCAAGTACTATACGATATAAGATATTGTACGTTGCTCATGGTGCCCCATGAAAACAAAGTTCTTAATGAATTATCAATCAAAACGTCCGATGCGGTGCTTGCGAAAATAGATCCATTCGACTACGATGTCTTTAATCCGTTCATCCACACCAACGTTAAAAAATCCGTTCAAAGATCTTTGGTTAGTATATTATTAATAAAGCTAGAGGTTTTTTATGTGATAACAATGAGAGATTTAAAATATCTAATTTTTTTTAGTTGATATTTGGAAACTTGGTCAGTCATTTAGAACAATTGCATTCGACGTTGGGTGCACGCAATGAACATACCAGCAATGACAATGGAAAAATCGAACCGCCTGCGGTACTAGCAGTTTGTACAGGAGCACCATGGTTCCCGCCATTAACTGTAACCGCTCCAACGAGGAATTTGCCAATTTTATCGGTGCCAATACCTGATAAAACACAAGTACGTATCGAATACTCTTATATTTCAGTTATATAATTTAATAGCAAAATTGTCAAATTAAAATACATTTATTATTGTCTGAATAAACATATACCTATTCCTAGATTTTGCTCTTTGATTGAGATAAAAATATCACGAATGTATAGATTTGGTAAGCCCGTAAAGTGATATGCATGGCGTGATTTTGGAACTAATCAATTTTGAATTAATGCAATTATATAATTTTATTTATCCTTTTATGTTACCCATTATTTTTATTTCAAAGGATGAAAAAGCAACATAGAAATTATGTTACATTGATTTGTTAGGAAAAAATATAATAGTATTGTAATTAAATGCAATTTAAATAACAGCTACTATACAGCTAGAATTTCAACGTGATTTAATAAATTTTTCTATAAATGTGTTTATTTTTACGAGATCGCGGATGGTACTAACAGTTTTGCAAATATGTATATAAATAATTATCTTTTATATTAAAATATGCATTTATTTGCAGCGTAAGAAAATAACGAAGGAGCAGGCGAAAAATGACTCGACCAGTGCAATAAAATCCGGGGCGGCTGCGTTTTTCGGTGCGATGGGATCAGATTGGTTCGGCAGCAGCAATTAACCGTTTTTGTTTTAGGAAGATTGTAAATATTGTCATATATGATACATTGTAAATAATGACGTTAGTCCTTTAGAAGGCATAAGTATGTCTTTCTACCATGCTTCTATTATCTGTTTTATACCAATGAAAATTAATCTATACATATGTATTATAAAGTTTAATAGAATACTTGATTTTTCAAACGAAATACGATTGATTTATAAATCAAAAGGTGGCAACGTTTCTTTTTCTCACAGTTTAATCTTTCTTACAAGTCTGTGTCATTAATTATATGTTTCTACAAGGTAGCTGGATTGAGAATCGAATCCTTGGATCGCTAGCTTATTACAATTTAAATCATCCAAGTATATATTACAAATTCTGCAAAGTGGATGAGTCTCTCGGAATTCATTATTCCTCCGAGACCAAGTTTTCAGCCTGCCGTGCAGTGGCGTCGTCCGCGATCACGACGGGAACTTTAAATTCTATAAACAAAGCGACTCGTCGGATAAGAGCGTCGGGGAAGGAGAAAGGGAGAGATTGAGACGTCCGCGAAAGCGACGAGGAGGGAATGAGGGGGTTACGCAACCGTCGTCGTCGCGGCGCGATGAAAAAAGGGGGTGATCGAGGAGGGGGAGAGCCTCGACGGCGAAACACGCCAGCGCGACGTAGTACACGTTTTGATATATGGCAAGATGGCCGGATGGGCCCAGCTGTGGTGATATCGGTCGTGAGACGTTCCCGCTCGCATTTGAAGAAGAAGCTGCGATACGAGTCCGTTCCGCTGCAGGAGTACCGGGGATCCAAGCAGAATCGTCCCGCCCCTCAAATGGTGAGTGTCGACGTCGACTCGACCGTTTTCCACCCCTCGATTTTTACGCGCGTACCGGCGCCGACCTCGCGTCTGCTAGGCGCGCCGATTTTGAACGATCGGCTCGCACGTCCGGCGGGTCGCGGAGGATCCTCCCATGTCCCCCCGAAACGGAGTTTCACCGTTTGGAAACACTCCCTCGACGGTCTGACATATTAATATCGTCATAAATATTCGTCGAGAACGCGGCGAGAGGGAAGAGAGGTGCCGATTCCGAGCGATCGGCTCGATACACGTGCGAGTGTCTGCGCGAATCCTCGCGGGGCTACGCGCTTTAAATAATCCGAATCGTTACTCCGGACGATTACTCACAAACGTATATCTTTACTTTTTTTTTTTGTTTTTCCTTTTCGTCTTTTCGTTCGATTAGATAGAACGGCGCGTGTCAATAACGACGATACGGAGAGATCGAGACGAGTGCGAGACGGGTGGAAATTTTACGCCGAAATTTTATAACCGATAATAATTTTATGTTTCACAGTAAAATTATTATCGAATCGAAAACAAGCGTGTTCGGCGGGATGAAGACGAGACGCGGTCAGGGTGTGAAAAGTCCGCCTTGAGCTCGTTTTTATCTTCTACGTATCGTAGAAAGAGACGATAGCATTCCCATCGGTGTAGCAAGTATATTTTTGTTAAGTTCAGTGTATTCTTCGATTTGTATGGATTAAGCGATAAAAATCGAGTTATCTTGACGATTAACCACGATGCGTCAATAGAGTCTTTGATAGAGGCGCATAGATACGTCGCGCTGACGATTAAGTTATGTATTCTTTGTCCGGTCGCCTCGGATGATCTTCGCTTCCACTCGATTAGTCGGTACGAATATTCGCGGTCACCCGGTCTCCCTTTCGGCGATAAAAGTAAAAAATTCCGTTGCATCACCCGGCTACGATGCAACACGTGCTTCAATTATCTCGTCCCGAAATGTTCCCGGGAAAAGCACGGTGGAAATCCTCCCGTGATTATCACAGAAAAATTTATCGTGGCAATACACACGTCACGCCGATAATCTTCGTAAGACTTCGATTTATCTAATCTGTCGTCGATTGACTACCAAACTGTCGAGGTTGCCGATATCGAGGATTCGGTAGTAATCTCTCTTTGCATGCGAATAATAAAACGTGAATCGGTGCGGGATCCGTTGAATCTCGAGCGTTAATTGCGCTCGCCGTTCACAGCTTTGTTTTCGCGCGAAGATTATTTATATATATATTATATATGATATATATTACGATTTATATATATTAAATTATGTATCTGTGCTCCTTAAAGGTAAAGAATCGTATCTCCAGCTTTTGTCAAAATGGAGTAAACACATTTTTCACTATAACAGGAGCTTAAATTGTTTAATGGTAAAGCGTCTTGTCTATTATTACTAGTTCCTAAGATACAACGTTTTGTAAAAGTCGGATTGAAGATTTTTATAGTGCCTAATTTTTAAACCTAATTTTAAAAGGTAGGGGAGATCGAGGCTCGTTGGCTCAGTTTTCACAATTTCGGCATTTAATTTTTTAAACAACTAATTATCATGATTAAACAGTACTAATGTGATAGAGAGAACCTTTCTCTACATTTTCATGCTAGGAACGATCCTGTATACTGTATTATAGCTTCTTCTACATACGTTGATTTCAGTCATTTTATTATAATAAATTAGTGTTATTCCTCAAAATAACATGTCGTATAGTAACGGAAACTTTTCTTTTAACTAATATAATACGTCATTTTGATTTACTTCTCAAGCTGAAGAACATTATTAATACGATATTTTGAAACGCTCGAAAATTTACTTGCCACCTCTTGAATCAGAGTTTTCTCTTTTTTTTTATTGTAATACTTGTTTGATTTAAATAAAACTTTGGACAAAGTACTTATATGTCATAAAAGAGATGTTTTGTGATAACTATTCCATCGTTTCTTTCGCCAAATACATAAAGTATAAACGGAACGCAATGCCAACTTGCCTTTTGTGCCAACGAGTCTTGTGTCCGGTCTCCCCTGCAGAGTGTTATTGGCAGTTGCACTAAACATGTCAGAGTTAAATTACTTTATTGAAAACTTAATAAATCAAGTTACTACTTTTATTTTATATTTAAAAGAAATATATCGTTTTCCTACTTAAAACTTTAAACCTGTTTTCTCTGAATTCATATAATAAATGCGGAGATACGATTCTTCACCTCTAAGGTACACATGTATTAAATAAACTATACATAAGTATATGTATGTACACTACTTAATAATATATATAGAAACGAGAGAGACTATTAATTTAGTCTCAATCTAATTTAATTTTTTCACGAATATCAACATATTGAATAAGTCTTTTTTTTTTCAACCGAACTTTTTACATCCCGCAGTCTAGTGTCTAGTAAATAACCGCAAGAGACACGATCGGTGTCTCTTTCCGTCCTCTCGCGCGCATTTTTCCTCGAATTAAGGCGTCACTATTGTGAATGATCGAGTTTCATATATACTACGAATACGATCTATGTCGGATCGGATTTGTGGTTATTTTATGGACGCTGAGAAGAGGTGTCCGATTGAATTATTTCTAAAAATGTAAAAATACATTACGTGTGACTGCGTCATGCAGCCCTTCGGAGGGGCGGAGCCCATCGATATCACCGTAAAATATTAAAGTATCTTCCCATTTTATTAATAGTTGCTTTCCATTTGCATCAAAACTCAGATAATTCTCACTTGTGACGTCATAACTCAGTTAAATGCACGTTCTTTTTGCATGCTGGCAAGTGAGATTCAACTGAGTTTTTATCTACAATCAAGCACAATCGAGCCATTGCTTTAATGAATCTAATAGACTCGAACATTAAAAGTGAGGCTATGGACCTGTATTATTATACGATAGCTTTGTCACCGAAATAAGCAGGTAAATACAAAATGAGTATAAAATACTCACATATCTGAGTGACTCAGATCACTTGAGTGTAAATGGAAAGCAACTAATATATCATTTCTCAGACTTGACGGAAGTTATTCCTATACAATAATTATCAGGATTCAGGAATATCAATCTTTTACCAAACACGCATTAAGATAGTCTTGTTCAATTCAATATAGATGACACGCGCGCGCGAGCACGCAAATTTGACCGTTATTATTTACACTTAATTTATATATTTACTATTTATTCTTGAGAAGTTTTCAACATTTTGTCGTGGCTATTTTGTCACGATGTAGTCGGGAAGAAGCCGTTTCACGTATCGACAAAGGTGACCGCAAAGTCCGCGAAATGCATGCAGGGGTTAGTCGTAAAACTGCGCATGTAAAATTTAAGATACTTTCTATATATGAGTAGCGAAACACGCTACGTGCAACCGGGACATCTTTGGCGAATACGTCTGCAGCATTGATCTGCACTTTTTCGATTTTCAGATAATAAAAATAACGTCGATCAGGCTACTGTCCACACAGTAGATAGAACGTGGTAATGTTGCGTGCCGATATATTTAAATTCAAATGTAATCGAGTTTATGTAAAAATTGCATTTATCGCGCCGCGCTTCACCTTCGCGTAAATTGCGCGAAACGACTTTCGAATGAATCATTAAGATACCTATCGAGAAAACAAGCTTAACAAACATTTCGTCAATGCATTGTCGCTTATCATTATTGTCTCTCTATCAAACTCGAACTCCGCTACTGTGTTCTCGTTGCGTATCGTTGTCTCACGAACTCGTGATTCACACCTAATCTTAGTATCGTAATTAAGATCGTTTTCCCATTACAATAAGATCGCGATCTCAATATAATCGCTAGATAAATCCCTCATATCCATTAACTTTTAATAATTTTAATATTATATACGCAACTGTTTGGATCGGACACGTCAATTATTTTTCAGCGTTCGAATAACTTGTCAGATTGTTTATATTTTCTGAAAATAAAAAATTTTATTTTCAAAAAATAAGAAATAAGAAATTTTATTTTCAGAACAATCATATCCAATAACATATCTGACATTTACATGTTTCTTTTCTGCATTTGCTAAACGCGCTACTTAAATTAATGCAGCTTAACTTTCAAGCAAACTGCATCTTATTGAAACGTCATTCGTTGTCACTTCAGGGATATCTGTGTTAATCTTAATTAGCAATTATCTTGTCCCATCCGCTCTCCTGTAGGCTAGGATTACCGTGCATCGCTGCATCACGGTGGCAAATGTGCCGTTTGAATAAAACGCTTATTGTAATTCACTGATAATCTGGCGGATAAGCGCATTTGGCGATTCACGCAACTCTCTCTCTCTTTCCGCAACTGCGTAAGTAATGTAACATTTAATCAAACTACTTCGTCATCATAAGTTTAAAAAAG